GCACGCCGTGGACGACATCGACGGCGGGTTTGACTGAAACCCGTACCGACTCTCGCAGTCTCGAAGGTCTTGTCGTAGATAACAGGAGGCACTCTTCCAGCCTATGACCGGGCGATTGCAAAACATGGTAATTAATATGTGTGTGTTTTTATGATGATAAATATAACTTACTGCCGCCTCCCTGTTCGCAGTACCGCTCGAGAGTGACTTTAGCCCGACGGACAAAATCGGCGAAATTACTACGAGTCGTGTCGTAAGAGCTGCCGACTGTCCCATAACTGCCCGATGTATACGATGTCCTGTTGATACAGCCCGGCGTATACAGCAATAGACAGTCCAGGTTCTGTCGGATTGCGCTATAAATTGCATACAATTTACTATATGTTTGATTTAAATCATTTTCTTAACTATCGATTATTATATTAAATAATCGTTAATACTTTTGCTGACTTTCACTTTATAAGAATATGAATGTTATAAATGTTTAAGTGATTGCATTAATAATAATCAATAGATATAATAATAATTATTATTATTAGTGTATTGTTGTATTGTCTAAGCTATTGTTATACTTGTATGAGAAAGTTTTGTGCCGTTTTGTCAACGAAGTCATTATCTAATGATAATTATCTCTACAATAATTAATACAATCGTATATTCTGTACATGAGTGCAAAACTAGACTATTATATAAATAATCATTTAAATTTTGAGTGCTATATAAGGGGAAACAGGTATGTCATGTCATAATCACCTGCATCTGGCATTTGAATCGCTACCAGAGCTCTGGTAACCGCTGGATATACCGCTATAACCACTACTACCCGAATGACTATTGCTTAGGTCCTGGATGTTTGTGACCACGTCTTGTTGACATCTCTGGAGCCGATTGTGATCGCAGTTGTATTGATTGTATGATTGGCTGGAATATGATTGGCCGGAGGCTAATGAGATGCCTGTGTTTGACCCAGAAATGAAATTTGAAGTTAATTACAAAAAACAATAGTAATTGCGATTAATTGTGATTTGACTTTCATTTCTGGCAATACTTTTATTCCCAACACTCGTTAATATTGCAGTGAATTTATGCATATATTTACACTATAGGAGTAGTCCCTCGTTGAATGAGTTTGTGATTAACATGGTTAAGTTTATTTGCTTACATTTGTCAACTACTGTATTGTGTAGATTTGTTGCAATTGAAAGTGATTGGCAATCACTGATTGCAATATATATTATTTAAGTTACACTAAAACACGATAATAATTGTATTTAATTGTCCTTTTTTGGCATACATTCAAATAAATAATTCAAAATCCAATGTAATATCTAATTAAGAAATGCATTGGTTTTGTGATTTGATTTTTGGGTGATATTAAAGATTTAAGTTAACATAGATTTAAGTTTTAGTTATTAATACTTTTATTAATATTAATGCTACGTGATTGCTTTTGATTACTGAAAATTTAATTACATCTTGATTTTATCTAAATTAGAACTTTAAGATTTTTATAACTATGTTGATATCTAAATATCTACCATGTTTATATTCTGGCTAGTTTACATAAAAATATATAAATTGCTATATATTAAATGTAAGTAATTTATAAATTATCATAACATTCTTTCAAAATGCTAAATGCTATATAGTATAAATTTAGATGATATTAACTTATGGTAAAACAAGTATTTATATACAATACATTCATTATCTTAATCACGCAATCATGACTTCAATGAAATAAATAACATTTTTAATTAACAGAATCTATGTCTGAATTTATATCAAAATTAAAGTTTATGGCAGAATTAAAGTCAAATTATTTCTAAACACTGAAATACTCACCAAAAATGGTAAAAATATATAAAAATAGCAAAAATGACAATTTTGTGGCCAATGAATGAGATTTCATATTTAGATAATAATATATCCGTCAGAAAACACGATTCAATTGTGAATTCAATAAAAACAACTTTTTTCTATAACTTTAAAACTTCAAAAACTAGTTTCCAAACACATTAATACACATTATATTCCTGTGAAAAGCATTCACAACCATAGGATTCTGTACACAATTCAGTGCCCAATATTCATACATAAACGCACATAAATTTTAGGACAAAAAGTAGTTTTTCCTATCACACAACTGGTTGTCAACTGTGTATCCTATACTAGAAATGCAAAATTTTATTGATATTTACCACACAAAACACAACAAAACACTAAACACCTTATAAAACAACACACAATATTCCGTATCTCCTTAACCACAAGTAAAAAGTATTGACAAAAGTATTTGTAATGATTTTTTATATGTTATATTAGAAAACACACAACAGTTATGTTAAGTTGCCGTACGGTTTGCGACAAACACTGGCGACGGCCCAGAAAGCACCGGAATATATATGTATGCAATGGTATTAAATGAAAGTGAAATCAATTTGTATTTCAAGTTTTATTATCAACAACAATATCGCTGTAAAAACACAAACCACCATTCAGACACACAGATCATTAATTGTACATGTACACTTTCCAGATGGGGGCACACAGTAAGAAATGTAATGTTAATAGTAACGGGTAATGTTAAAGGG